TCTTTATTATTAATAATTATTTCGATAAATCTTTGGTCAACTCATCTTACTACAACTTGTAACTAACTTAACTACAACCAAGACGTCCAAGGCCATACAAACTCTTTCGCATGGACCTCTACTGTACTGAATGTACTTATAATGTTATTAAGACTCTGGAGATGACTATTTGCGCTAGAGTAATTACGCCACATTATAGTAACTCTTATATACTTATGTACGTAAGCAGAGTTATCATCACCGGCAACTATCGTCACTAGCGGCGGTTTAGTGTGTAGTCGCCTTAAAACTTAAAGCTTTTGTACCACGTCGCGATTCTATCATTCAATTCCTTTACATTGCTCGTTTATTTAGACGCTACTGTTAAATACAATTAGGATAGCAAGTAATGTATATATTTTCGCGCAGTATCATGATTTATGTCAATGAAGAGTAAATGATTCGCATATATTTTCCTCAATGCAAAGGTTTAGTATACAAACCGCGGTTGTTGCGACAGTGGTGTCAATTTAAACTGCTGTAAAAAGTTACAGCATATAGTATATATATAATAAAAAAAGTTTAGTTTGTGACAGCAAGTATAGGTAAAATATATATCATATATAAATATATCGTGTATCGTCAGTTAAAGCGTTTACCGTTAAATTTAATATCCGAATATGATAGTACGGGGAACCTCGTTTCGCTATAAGGATCTCTAAAAACCTATTGTAAAACCTATTAGTGCTATTTTCAAGTGCTTTCTGTATAGCTGCCGCCTACTGCTTTAAATAGAGAAATATCAACATCGTACTGGCAAAACTCAATTGTTTACATACATTGAACATTTTATATTGAATCAATACAAGCACTATGGCAAGAAAAGTAGCGACATTTTTGTGTACTATTTGAGCTTTTTTTATGACACTAAGTGACGGGACGAACAAGTCGTGCGCCTGATGGTAAACTACACGCCTGTCCATAACAGTTGTTGTGCCACTCAGAGCTTTAATTCGCAAAGATCTGAGGGGCACTGCCACTGCGCCCGTCACCTTGAGACGTAAGTAGACAAGTCCCATGTGCCTGTAATTTCACCAGCACCCTTACCCTTCTAAAACATTACTACTTGGCGGTAGGAATAGGTAAGGTGGCAGCAGCGAGGCGTTCTTATAACCCAAGTCCCACCAGCTTGCTTAAATTTTCCACGTATCATCAAATATTATAAATATTTAAAAGTAATTTGTTACATTTTATACTCAATAATACGTGTACAATGTAATTAACCGGTGAAATACAGTGTACTGGTACCTGGTGTGCTAATCAGTGTGGTATTTAATTGTCGCCAAGGCGCCAATTGTCAAGGCAAGTGTTTTTTCTTTTCCCGGCTTAACTAAAGACAATTGTCACGTCTCGCCACTGCAAGGTGGCAGTGCTATCCTTGACGAACTCTTTCACAAGGAGCTCTACTGCTACTAAATTAGAATAGAAATTTATTTTCTCCCAATTAGCTAACAAATTTACAATAATTGGTCCATATATAGACATAAATAAAGCTACATAGGGAGACTGGTGTCCAAAAACCTGTGTTATAGATCACAAGACCTTGTCGTAATGACGACTGTGGCTTCTAGCCTGTTCCCATATCTCGACTGTCGTGCATTTCTTTTTATCGATGAACGACTGTCGTATCTAGCCGTTCCCACTGAATCGTGACGACAATTTATCGGTTCTCGTCAGCCACCTTATGTACGACAGAATCCTTTGATACACAGTCGGCTCTACGTTCAGTTGAATGAGAGTTTTTGTTTTTTATCAAAAGTAAGTGCGCATTTGACCTCCATCTCACCTGATGGAAAGTGATCATGAGGTCGACGATGTAGCATGCGCACCTAAATAATACCTATTCACTCTCGCCTTGCAAAGGTCCAAGTTATATCCACAACATATGGGTGGAATTCCAGCCCACGATGATGGAAAGGGGAAGGCGGAATCAATTTATGCAATTCCATCGCACTCTCCGTAATGTGAATCGAAGACTGTCGTTCTAGCGTCGTCTTGACAATCCGTTATCATAACATCAAAAAAGTTGTGAACGACATTTAATCTTGTTGTGCTATATGTGAACAACTCCATTTAAATATACAAGCCACGACACTTTAAACTGCACTATTTGTCGTCACGTCAAAGTGGGAACGCAGCCTTACAGTAAAAATTGTACATAAATGCACTAACAGCAAAGATTATTTAATAGTTACTATAATAGTTTAGCAAGCTATTATAAATCGCTAAAACTTAATAAATGGAAACAAACGCGTGTGTGTGATTGTCTGTCCCGTCCATGAAAAGGTTAAGTAGACTAAACTTTCAAATTTTAAACCTTCTGATCGTGTATGTGCATTTAACTTGTATTAGAAGGTATATGAATACAAAACAAATCTGGGTATCATTGTTAGTGACTAAGAAATGTATAGACGTATGCGACAATCGAGGAAATCTGCTCTGTCTCCCTCAAATTCACAGCCAACAACAAACTATTTGGTTTAAGATAAACTCACCTATTATACCAGTTATATTCACCTGTACTAATTTTAAACTAACGCTTGCTATGCAAAAGACGCTCTTAACGCTTTGTTATTAAGAGTGAGTTTGAAGACGTATTTAAGTTTATTGCAAATGGACATTAGTACGTAATGTTTAAAATAATGTTTGTTTGATAATAATAAACTTTATTGTAGCATGGTATTGAAAGGAAAATGAAGAAGTAGCAGTAGAGCTCCTTGTGAAAGAGTTCGTCCAGGGAAGTATTTCTACCTTACCTATTCCTGCCGCCAAGCAGTAATGTCAGCATTACTGTGTTCCGGTTTTGAAGGGTAAGGGTGCTGGTGCAATTACAGGCACATGAGACTTGTCAACTTACGTATCAGGGTGACGGGCGCAGTGGCAGTACCCCTCAAATCTTTGCGATTTAAAGCTTTTTGTGCAACTGTTATGGACAGGCGTGTGTGTAGCTTAACATCAGGCGCATGACTTAATTGTCTCATCACTTGATATTATGAAGAAAAAAACTTTTTGTGTTAATCATATTTACTAAAGGGTTTAGTAATACTTTGGAATTTGTAAATGTTCAAATGTAAAAACTTTATTACTTGTATTTTATGTATTTGTATATATACGTGTGTATATTCACGTCATTTACCTACTACACGTTTACATTTATTACATTAGAGTATATAAATACTCTATTAGCACTTATGTAAGTATCGGTTTTTTTACGTATCTGCTACTTTATTACATTTCTTTTTTTTCTCTTGCACGCTGTTGCCCGTTTGTCTTTTGTTCTCAATGCCTTGGGTTGTCTGTAAGAGATATCTTTTAGAGATAAGTCCACCTTTACATGTGCATTTCATATATAAACTTAAGCAGTAATTTTAATTTTCCATGCTATAGATACATGTTATTTTCCTGTAACTTTTGCTTTACATTTTTTTCATCTTTACATTTATAAAATCGAATACCTACTTTAGAGGTTCATCGAACAAAATTGGTCATATTGTTTAACACAAGCAGCACTAGTACTAGATTATGTTTCAAGTTCTCGACTCCAACGCCGTTTCGTATACTGTTTATAAATAGATAATGCAAGTGAAAAATAAAAAAGTGATAAAAGGACGGGCCGTACGCGATCAAGTTAACGAAAAAAATAATCAAAAGCTGCGCAGCTTCCATACTATTTATAAGATTTGTAAGCTTCTGATGTGAAGTGCTATATGGTATTACTTAAATAAAAATCAAACTCACATAGATACGACTATCGTATTACATGTTATCTTCTGTGTTTAATCTTAATCAGAGAGAACTTGGCATTTTGTTTTTTCTTTGTCCCAAGTAATATTTATTTTAATATTTATTATGGTCTAATATCATGTTTATATAGCTTAGAATTATTCACCAGCTAATGAAATCTTTTAAGATTTCAGAGTTTATACAACCTCAAATGAGTTTGGTTGATTGCGTATAACAGTTGAATTTGGAAAAAATATGTACTAAAATTGAGGATATATACTGATTATTACTATACGTAAGTTCCACGTACAAAAGTACGTGGAATTGCGTCTATTTGCTAAGTTTTATTGAAATATCCCCTAGTTCGCCACTATACAGGACTTGACACTGGAGATAATAAAAATTGGTTCTCACTATTCAAAGTATATGGAGAGAAAAACGCCTTGAATTGGAGGAATAGCAAAATCAACCATTAAAACAATTGCTCCTAAATTAAAGTTAGGCGCTATTTATGAAAATGAATGCGTGAGACGCCGCGCCACCCTTCGTGGATGATTTTCTTCAAAATTAAATGGGACCACTATGGAAGTACCCCCTTTCCAACAAAAAAAGAATCATGAAAATCGGTTCACAAGTACCGGAGTTATCGCGTAACATACATACAAAAAAAACTTACAGTCAAATTAAGAACCTCCACCTTTTTTGAAGTCGGAAACAAAACACAACTTACGTAGAAATTTAAAAGAAAGCTGCAGTATTCAATAGGTACCTTACCAATGATTTTCTTTTGTATCAACTGACCTAAATAGAACACGTAGTATAGGTACAATATAAATTTTTCAAATAGCTGTGATGTCGTTTGTAAAAATGTAAATTCTGAAATAAAGCCAGTGTCCCTGTCGCTCGGCTCAAGCAAAATGAACCGTATTAGTACGGGAAACATTTTAATTCAAGCTGAGTATCGTATCGACTCCTAAGAAACCTTTGATCTCCACCTGTAGGTAATATCTCTCGCTTGAGCCCGTAATAGTTTCCAACTCCCGGAAACTTAAAGCGCAAATTGTACTCAAAATCGTTGTTGTATGTTGAAATAATGCACAAATGTATGGTCACAATCGATTACTTATCTTATTACGCGAAATTATTATCCTCTTTGTCTTATAATCTGGAAGTATAATAGGTGTTTAAAGATAAATGTAATTACATTTTTACGGTTCCTATCGCGGTTTCTTCAGTCCAGCCCTGCCGTGATTGCCATGATGATATAGAATAATATTATAATAAAATCAATAAAAGAATAACAATTAGAGAAGGAAGTGAACAAACAGTGTATAAAAATGTCTAGTGATAATAATAACATGGATCTGGGAAAAGTGTCCTTTGAAAGTGCTATCAATGAAGCAGGTGAGTTTTCTAATGTACCTACAGTCGATGACCTGATATTTGACCCTCTAGCCGACGTTTTATTTCTCAGAGCCGCATTTATGGTTGAAATTTGCATTCTGTATTTAAATAACTGTTTTCTTAATGTTTAAATAAATAACGTTTTCTGTTAACTGTGTTCTGTATTTAACGTGTACGTTAAATATTAAATTGGTTTAAAAAGTTTCTTAAAACGTCGTTCACTAAACCCCAATCAACCCGGGTACCCACCCGGGTTTTATCCATTTCTGCCCAAAATCGTGTGCGGAAATGGCGAATACCTAATTTGGTATAATTAAATAAACAACGCGCGCACTCATAGCCCCGCATGTAGGAAATCATGGATACACATATAGACAACCACAAATTACTACTGACTGCCTCCGTGGCCGAACAGTTACCAAGCTGAGCAGCCGCGCAGAGGTCCTGGGTTCGTTTCCGGGCCGGGAAAAATATATTTACGGCCTACATTTATTTCTCTCTTGAGTTCGGGTGTAATTTGTGGTTTTCTATGTGTGTGTCCATGGCACCCGCGAGATAGGGTTTCCCTAGTGCTAGGGCTGTGAGTATGTGTATAAAAAAGCGACATCTTTGTCAGAATTGTAGTAGCAAAGTACCTGGCTGAGTGAAGAAACTTTTATAACATCTCACAGGTGGCAACAAAAAAGCCGTTTAAGTCCAGTACAAAAAACTGCAGAGGCGCATAGAGAAATTCGTAAGATCTGCTGGCTCGATCCGTAGCTCAGTTGACAGAGCGGTAGTCACATACTTAATAGG